AAGTGCTATAGGATTACAGGTGTGAACCACCATGCCTGGCCAGGCGAAATAATTAGATTCTTCCTTTCTGGTACAGAAGGTGAAGCTAGTATGTCTGCTCAGTGGGATCCTACAGGCATCCTCTGCAGCTGTTGTGGAGGTAGATGCAGAGCTTCCAGGATGTGTATCCACCTTACCTTAACTTAGGTGGACATAGAGCCTGCAGGATCCTCTGCTGCTGCTGCTGCTATGGAGACTGAAAATGCTCTCCAGTGCCTAGCAGGCCAGGTGTAAAAGCTGACTTGGAAAGCAAGGGACATCAGTGCTGAGAGCACCTACCTGCCTGAGAATAAGAAGCAGACAGTCCTGGGTATGGCATCACTGTCATGGTTGGCTAGCAGGTACCAGATGAGGCATGGCCAGAAGTGGCCAGCTTTTAAATGCCAAAGACAGGACAGTTACAGAGGGGAGAGGTGGAGAGGACATGGTGAGAGGGACAGTAAACACCTGCAACATGTGCACACACAGGTGGGCCCTTGGGGCAGAGTCAGCTGAGGTATGGTTGGTGATGAAGATGCTGTGTTGAGACACTGGATACCCAAGGCATTTATAAACATTGTTTATAAATGTTTATAAATTATAAACAATGTTCATACACATTGGAGGGACTTAAGCCTACTCATGATACCACTCGGACCTCTTTACAAAAATACTGAAGATATAAAGATTTCTTCAATTGGACTCTGAACCTGTAGGTCTCTTTTAATGAGGGTCAAGCTCCAAGTTTTGTGTTGCTATGTGATTCTATTTCTTGATTTTAATAATGACAGAGAAAAGTATGGATACCTCTATTCCAGAAATCTACTGGGGCTGGGCCATCTGAAAGGATCATAGATACGGGGAAGAAATGAGAGTCTGTATTATTAAGAGAATCCTGGCCGAGTGCGGTGGCTCATGCCTGTAATCCCAGCACTTTGGGTGGCTGAGGTGGGTGGATCACAAGGTCAGGAGTTCAAGACCAGCCTGGCCAAGATGGTGAAACTCCGTCTCTACTAAAAATACAAAAATTATCCAAGTGTGGTGGCGAGCGCCTGTAATCCCAGTTATTTAGGAGTCTGAGGCAGGGAATTGCTTGAACCCGGGATGCAGGGGTTGCAGTCAGCCGAGATTGCACCACTGCATTCCAGCCTGGGTGACAGAGCGAGACTCCGTCTCAAAAAAAAGAGAGAATCCTCTAGAAGTCATATTTGTTGAGGGGTGAATAAGGTTGACATAGAGGCCAGAAGTGGCTAGAAAAGGTACATCATAATCTGATGACAGACCCCTGTTATGGAGTGTTTCTGGATGGTTCAGTCTTTCCCACAGTTGACTGGATCTTCTCCTGGTGTACAATAGCTCTGTGTCCACCTGGTGTCAAGTGGTTGGAGAAGGAGGACACCTAGGATCTCCAGATCATGTCATTCCTCAGGAGAAACAAGTGTGTGAGGGAAGACATCCTTTGCAGTCCAGGAATTGTACTGCCCTCTTCCTAAGGCTGCTCTGTTTATTTATTTGTGTGTGTGTGTGTGTGTGTGTGTGTGTGTGTGTGTGTGTGTGGTGTGATGGAGAGTCGGGGGTGCATTTTGGAAGAAGACACAAAATTCTGTCCTTTAAATCTACCTAGATAATGCACATCTATGAATTCTATAGTAATACTGTCAGTCTTCCTTTGCATTTAGATATTAGAAGCAGGTATTCACCTGAGAAAAAATGAGGTACCTAAGTTCACAGCTAATAAATAAGATCACTGTAGACATGACTGGGGAAGGGAAAAGAAAAGCACATAACTATCCTTGCTCAGAACAAAAACTACTAGGCTGGCGTGGGGGCTTATGCCTGTACTCCCAGCACTTTGGGTGGTCAAGGCAGGCAGATCACCTGAGTTCAGGAGTTCGAGACCAGTCTGGCTAATATGGTGAAACCCCATCTCTACTAAAAATACAAAAATTAGCCGGGCATGGTGGCGCGTCTGTAATCCCAGCTACTTGGGAGGTTGACGAAGGAGGATCGCTTGAACCCAGCTGGCGGAGGATGTAGTGAGCTGAGATTGAACCACTGCACTCCAGCCTGGGCAACAGAGCAAGACTATCTCCAAAATAATAATAATAAATAAATAAATAAATTTAAAAATTATGTTTACAAAACAGGGAAATTAAGCTACAGTACATGATAGGAAAAACAAAATGGTAAGGAATTAAAAGAAAGCTAAAGGTAAGTAAATAAAAGCTAAGGGAACATGCTGTAAGTTCAACAAACCAAAATTAAGTAAAACTAGTGAAGAGGTCATCTACACAAGAATGATGAAGGGACACTTGGCAGTATAGAGATCTGAGTCCAAGAGCCACGAGTCCCAAGCCAGGCACACGGCATCCCCTGAACTACACTAAGGAGCCTCCCATTCTGTTACGCTTCTGATTTCGGAAGTAGGCTATACAGCTTGTCTATGCAGGGACACCTGCAGGGCTTCAGGAGTCTCATTAACTCAGATGGTTCCAGATCATCCCACTCCTGGGGTCCAGCCAAGGAGCCATGACTCACCTACTCTGTCATACTCCATTCATCACCCTGTGAGCAGGGCCTCCTTCACCTAGTGGATATGTGTCCACTCAGGTCAGTAAATTGGGAGCCCCATCTACCCCCTTAACACAGGGGCTACTTAAGGGCTACACATTTGATGTGGTTTGGCTCTGTGTCCCCACCCAAATCTCATGTTGAACTGTAATCCCCACTTGTCAGGGGAGGGACCTGGAGGGAGGTGATTGGATCATGGAGGTAGATCTTCCCTATGCTGTTCTTGTGATAGTGAGTTTTCATGAGCTCTGATGGTTTAAAAGTGCATTTCCCCAATCTCTTTTTTTTTTTTTTTGAGATAGAGTCTTACTCTGTTTCCAGGTTGGAGTGCAGTAGCGTGATCTCGGCTCATTGCAACCTCTGCCTCCTGAGTTCAAGCAATTCTCCTGCCTCAGCCTCCCGAGTAGCTGGGACTACAGGTGCATGCCACCATGCCCAGCTAATTTTTCTGTATTTTGCTTTTTAGTAGAGATGGGGTTTCACCATGTTGGCCAGGATGGTCTCAATCTCTTGACTTTGTGATCTGCCTGCCTCGGCCTCCCAAAGTACTGGGATTATACAGGCATCAGCCACCACACCTGGCCTCCCCACTTTCTCCTGCTACCATGTAAGACGTGCCTTGCTTCTCCTTCGCCTTCTGCCATGATTATAAGTTTCCCAAGGCCTCCCAGCCATGCAAACTGTGGGTCAATTAAACCTCTTTTCTTCATAAATTGTGCCAGTCTCGGGGTAGGTCTTTACAGCCCCCCCCCCCAGTGTGAAAATGGCCTGAATACAACATCATGGGGATTTTTTTCTTTTCCTGAATCCTTCCTTAAGTATGAAAGACCTTTTTTTTTTTTTTTTTTTGAGACAGAGTCTCGCTCTGTCACCCAGGCTGGGAGTGCAGTGGCGGATCTCAGCTCACTGCTAAGCGTCAACCTTCCGGGTTGCATCTTGCTTCAGCCTCCGCTGAGTAGCTGGGACTACAGGCGCCGCACATCGCCTGTTTAGTTTTTGTACTTTTTAGTAGGGAGACGGGTTTCACCAGATTTTTAACCAGAGTAGATTGTCCAATCTCCTGACCTCGTGATCTCCCGTCTCGGCGCTCCCAAGTGCTGGGATTACAGGCTTTGAGCACCGTGCCCGGCGAAGCAATTATTGTCCCCTAGATATGTGCTTTCCAAATCTTCAATTATGGTGCAGGCAGAGTCAAGCCCTGAACGTCTCGAAGGAGGATACTTATCTTTGCAGGGAGGAAGGGAGGGATACATGCTGATGGAGCAAACCCTGAGGATTTCAGAAAGGGGCTCTGGGTTTGAATGCTGACTCTTCCACTTATTAGCTCTGCACTCTCGGGGAAACTGTACCTCTATGAGCTTCAGTTTCCAGCCTGTATTGTTAGTGTACTATTACTATGTGACTGTGCTCGGTAATTAGGTCAGGGAATATATTTGGCAGAGATGATGCAGTGTTTTTGTTTAAAATCCAGAATAATCAGATTTAGGGGAAGCAATTGGAGGGTATGAAGCTACTCGGAGCTTCAGAACTCACCTTTCTGGGTTAATCCATGATGTGACTCCAAAGGGCATCTTGATGAGGATGCTCATTAGCCAGGAAGGTGTCAAGCTCCGCTTTTGAAGGAAGGGCAACTTATGTCCATTTTCCTCAAGGAAGGGTTTTTGTGGGTTTTTTTTTTTTTTTTTTTTTGAGACGGAGTCTCGCTGTGCTCCCAGGCTGGAGTGCAGTGGCGTGATCTCGGCTCACTGCAAGCTCCGCCTCCCGGGTTCACGCCATTCTCCCGCCTCAGCCTCCCAAGTAGCTGAGACTACAGGCGCCCGCCACCACGCCCGGCTAGTTTTTTGTATTTTTAGTAGAGACGGGGTTTCACTGTGTTAGCCAGGATGGTCTCAATCTCCTGACCCCGTGATCCACCTACCTCAGCCTCCCAAAGTGCTGGGATCACAGGCATGAGCCACCACGCCCAGCCAAGGAAGGGTCTTAACCACTGAGGCTCACATAAATTTAGAGCACTTATTTCCCTGTTGAAAAGGAAGTGGTGATATGACAGGAAGAATTTTAGAACTACCTGACATGGTTGTGAGCCACACACGTGACTGCACCTGTAGTCTCTTCTTTCCTTGGAGAACTCCCAACAGAAGAGGACAGAGATTTTGCCTAGGCTGGGGTGGGCACTTGCCTACCTGAAACAGAGACAAGTCTAGAGTAACTCCAGAAGGGTCCTCAAGAGGCCCACCTCCCTTTCAGGGCAGAAGTTCAGTTGCTGGTCTTAGGGAAAAGCCTGTCTTGTTGTGTGGAGCATCCCCAAACATACCACATTTTAAGCAGAAATAAAAAATATTTGCTGACAAAGTGGGGGTCAGAGAAGGGATAAGCACACATCTCTAAAAAAGAAAGGCGCAGCACGCAGGTTCTAGTTCTTGACTTTAATGCCCTTGGAGTGTACTGAGGCTCCATACACCAAAGCACTCACAGACAGGTACATGAACTCACACAGGAAGTGTTATACTGTGTACATAAACCCAACACCGTACAGAAGGACGACGACGGACCCAGGTGACTCGAGGTGACTGCCTGTTCCCATACCCACTGTTTGTTCCCACCTCCCTCAACCCCTGCCAACCCCCATCCTTCCCCACTCAATACGTATATACACAGATATGATTCCCTCAGAATTCCAAAAAGTGCCTCTCCCACCCCAGTTCCCAACACTCCAGCTTTGGATGAAAAAAGCCTCTCTCTTTTAAGGATCATGAGACAGGCACCACCTTCATGCAAGAGCCCCAGAAAAATAGTACCCAAGAAATTAATAATGTATATTGGAATCAAATATGGATAGAACATATGCAGAAGGACAATATTTGAAATATTACTGGGATCAAAATGCTCAGTGTGGGTAGTTTTTGTTTTGTTATTGCTGTTTGCTTTAACCTGTTCAAGAGCTGGTTTAGACCAAGACCACACATGGATGCTCACGCCGCCTGTGTCTTATAAATGTCACTTCCTAGTCCTCCAGCAAGCAACCCAGAACAGGAAGATTATATCACCTGATAAGCCTGAAGCACAAGGCTCAGACAGTTCCCAGAATATCCTAAGCCCCAGGAAAGAACAGAAACTTCCAGAGTACAGCTGACTGCTTTCTGCCTTAGCACTGGGCAGCCTGGTGAACAAGGCAGAGGTAGAATAAGGAAGGTGACGATTCCTTCCTTTGATTCAGAGTGTTACGCAAAGAATTCCTCCCCTGGAATGGGATGTGTTTCAGTGTGGTTTTGCTTCAGTCTTTTTCATTGCTATAACATTAGCTTTTTTATCTTTAAGGAATTTTATTATGGCGAGCATTTCACCATGTGGTCCCATCTCCTGAAACTTTCACTTTGGTTTGACTCACTGGTAACTACTGGCCTGTCTCAAGGCAAGATGAATCCAGTCCCTTGTCAAGCGAGAGGGATTTACTGACATTACACACAACAATTCTATAAAGATGCACTTCCTCCTGATCAGGGAGAAGCTTTCAACCTTTGGAGCCTTCCTTCCAGACCCAACCCTTCTTCTGCTCTGGGCCTGGCCATTCAGAGTTGAAAAGGGATCAAATGGGGAGAAATTACTTCCACAGGGATAACCCCTTTATTTGGAGGCCATTAGCACAATCCATCACATCTAATTCACTTTTTAGCCTGGCCTCGGTTTCTCATCAGAGAATGGAGAAACTAGACCACTGAATTCATTCACTCTATTTAGAAAGAGCTCTCAGCTTGCTGCCCAGTGTCACCTCTCTGTCTTCTCTACTGGCCAGAGCCTTGTGTCCTACAGTGGCACAGAAGACATTATTGTGAGGATCACATAGGGAGTCAGAGAAACAGGGGTTTCTCCAGCGAGAGACACAAGAACAGTGTTCTTACCCAGCATCCCTGTAACCCTAAGCCAGCCTTCAGGACCTGTTTATGAGCAAACCTGCATTTAAGCAAACAAGTTTCTCCCTGGCTTGCATGTATGGACTCTAAATAACCAAGCCCTGCGATGCTCCGTGGGATGGCGGGTAGCAGAAAGGGTCAAGGCCACATCACTGAAAGCATTGGGCTTAATGAACTGCTCTCTGTTCACACAGACTTTATCAATAGTCTGCCTCTCTGTCAAAAAATGAACACATATTAGGCAGTAGGTAACACCAATCAGAAGAACTGAAATCAAAGACTTTTCTCTTAGAACAATTCAAGAGCCATGTTTTTGGGCTAACCTCCAAGCAGGGACATCAGCTCCAAAAAAGAGACTATCCCTTTGTATATGAGTACAATAGAGAGAGCCCATATCTCAGAACATGAATGACTGTTCTTTCCTCTTAGATCTCAGTATTCACCTCTTTTCCACCTCTAAAAGAGAACAACAGGAGTGCACAACCATGCCCTGGAATATTTGTTTACACAGAGGGAACAGGAGGTCACTGCCTTCCAGCCCCACGGAGGAATTCAACCAAAGTCCCAGGGCTTGGTCTTCTTTTCCTCATATGAACACAGACTTCAGCTCCCCCTATAGCCATCTCATCTATCTGGTCCTGTAAGTCTGAGACCAGGGAGGTTGTCCTCCCCAATTCCTTTATTTATTTATTTTAACGGTGGTGTTGCCCAGGCTGGAGCACAGTGGCTAGCCATAGGCATGATCATAGTACACTACAGTCTTCACCTCCTGGGCTCAAGTGATCCTCCTGCCTCAGCCTCCGGAGTAGCTGGTACTACAGGTGTGTGCCTGAGTAGCCTGGACTACAGGCGTGTGCCCAAGTAGCTGGGACTACAGACATGTTCCTGGCTCACATCAATTCTTCACACATTAAAAAAAAAAATCTCCCTTCAAGAATACCCAGGAAGAGACAGGAACGGTCATGATTACAGAGAGATGCCCTTAATGCAGCATGGAAATGTTACATTGTGATCAGTGGTGCTACACAGTTCTTCCTTTAGGAGATGCATGTCCAGACCCTGACTAGTTGGCCCAGGCTGTAGACAGAGCAAGAAGGAAATGCAGTAGTAACAGATCCTTGGGGATCTTTTTCAATTTCTGAAATAGAGGAGTAAGTAAAACAAAATATAGAGGAGTGAGGAGTAAAACAAAATATAGAGAAGTAAGACAAAAATAGAGGAGTGAGGAATAAAACAAAAGGGAAGTTTTCTCTGTCTTCCTACGGCTCCTAGGATAGCTGTGTGTCTCACCCAGCCCTTCCTTTACCTTCTCAGAAGACATGCTCTCCTAGGAGAATGTTACCAGGACAGAGCAACAAGGTTTAAAGAGGGGGCCCCTTCCAAAGAGGTTCACCACAAATTGGATTCTAACACATGAGATAGCAGCCAAGGAGGTGTTCTGAGCCTCTAAAAAGGATGTTACATGTCAAACATAACAGAAGATCTAGGCATCTTGCCTGCTTGACTTGGGGAATCTTCAAAAGAAGCCTCTGAAATTTGCATTCCAGCCCTGTGAGAAGACAACCCTGCAAGCAAGGAGGGTGGTGGAAGATAGGAGAAGCTGTGGCCCTAAGACAGGGCTGTAAACATTGTGGTTTTCTAAGGCCAACTGGGTGCATAGCTTTGGCAGCTATGGTTAAATCTCCAAAAGGTGGTGAAGAACATGTTCCGGAAGGAAAAGAGAAGTCTTTCCACATTTTAGGAAAGTGGGCAACTATTCTCGGAGGAGAAGGGGTGCAGTGGGACAGAAGATGCTCTTTCTTCTTCAGCCAGGGGCTACGGGGTGGCTGGTCAGGTAAATCCCCCATCATGTTCCGTGTTCACACCAGTACACTAAGCACAAGGGAGGGACGCTTGAACAGGGTCGAGGAAGTGATTAGGCCTCATCGATTTGATAACGTGGCTCTAAAATGGGCAGAAACTCTCTTGCAAGGTCAAAAAGGTGACGAAACTTCTCAGGACTTCCTGCTTAAGCCCTAGCTATCAGCCTCAAGGAAAGACTACCATGCCTTGAGGAAAGGCCAGGTGAGCGCTGGCCGGAGTGCCTGCAGGCCGCAAGCCCTGAGCCCAACCCTGAGGTGCAGTCAGGGAGAGTGGGGCTACACCTCTGTCCCCTGGGAGCTGTGCCTCAGGACTCGGTCCTCACCTCCGCAGATTCTGGGGCAGTCAGCAGCCCCTTCAGGGATCTTACTCCCACAGCCACCAAGTGTGGTGGACATCCTCCCTGATGGGACTCTTGCCTACCAAGGCTACTCACCACCATGTGATCTTGAACTCATAGATGGGGCGCTTGCAGTAGTAGTGGTTCACGAGGTGCTTGTCACACACCCCGATGCACTGGTGGTCCACGGTGAGGCCCTGGGCCGAGAGGTCCGTGACCAGGCAGTGCAACAGGTCATAAACATCAGCCACAGCCTCCCAGGGCCCAAAAGACACATCCACTTCACAGTGGTGCTCAAAAAGCTGCCCGTCACTCTCACTCCGCTCAAAGCGCAGGGAGTTGAGGAGCGGACACTCATACGGGGTGATGGGCATCTCCTCCTTGAAGACACAGACCTTGAGCTTGGCAAAGCGGGCCTTCCGCTGGACCGCACGCAGCCGGGCAATCTCCACAATCCGCTCCAAGTGGTCTATGAGGATGAACACAACACCTATCACTGGGGTGAAGGGGCAGGACAGGGCGGCAGAGATGCACAGAGAAACAGTCCTGAAGATGGAGGATGCAGGAGGGGAAAGACAGATTTCTCGGGGAAAGGATTCAGGGGGCCAATGAAGGGCACAAACTGAAACAAGGGTCATGGTTCTCTACAGCAAAGGAGAGCCAATGGGACGAGGGTTGTCCTTCTGAAACACAATTTGCTGACTGTCACAGGCCAGGTAGGACCACCTTAACTGGAATCTCCCCAGTGTGACTGGGAGGGGACGATACTCCCTCCCATCTTGAGAAATCTGGATGAACGCTGCCCCCGGTGTTGATGGAGACCTAAACACTCACAGATGCCTTGCAGACCGCCTCCCACATACCCACCATCCTGGGCAGCTGACCCTCACCTTTGTAATAGGGCATGAGTCCCAGAAACGCTTGGCGCACCTTCTCGCCCTTCAGTGGCTGCATGTTCTCCAGCTGCTCCAGGAGGGGCCCGATGGCATAGTACTGGGCCTCTTTGTACACAGCTCGAACACGCTCCCTGGGTGGGAGGTCCCCTGAGCGCAGGAAATTCAGCACATCTCTGAGCAGGAAGGAAAGAGGGTCGGTGACAAGGAGCTCATGCTCCTGGGCAGTGCCATACAGTGCATTGGACAAAGTCTAAAACTAGACTGCCAGCTGTGTTACACTGGGTAAATGAACCTAACCTCTCCATGCTTCAGTTTCCCTGTCTGTAAAATTGGAAAAAATAATAAAACCTCATGATGTATTAGGAATTAAGTGATTAGAAAATCCCTGGCACAGAGTAGAGCCTCAATAAATGTTACCAGTTGTTGTTATCAGTAAGCAACTATAATTACTATTATTAGGTACAATATTAGGTATTATTAGGCATATGTAAGTATAATGGGAAGATATGACATCTAGCCCTTTATATACATTTGTTTTAGAATTGAGGTGAAATATTCAATAAATGTACAAATATTAACTCTACAGTTCAATTTTTTTTTAAGTATGAATATACCCATCCAACCACACCTAGATCAAGATGAAATTTCCATTCCTTAAGGTTTCTCATGCCACTTCCCAGTTAATCCCTAAGGAAGGAACCACTCTAACTTCTCCTTCGATCAGTAAAGATGAGTTTTGCCTTTTCTTGAAATACATATAAATAGAATTATGCAGTATGTTCTCTTTCGTACCTGGCTTCTTTCCTTTAACATAATGTTTTTGAAATTTATCCACCAAATAAATAAAAACAAACCGGTAGTTTGTTATTATTATTATTTATTATGTAAGTATACCCTTGCTTGAATATGGTATAATTTATTTACCCTGTTGTCTCTTTGATGGACATTTGGGTTGTTTCCAGTTTTGGGCTATTATGAGTAAAGCTGGGATAAACATTCCTATTTTAGACCTTTAGGCCAGGCACGGTGGCTCACACCTGTGATCCCAGCACTTTGGGAGGCCGAGGTGGGTGGATCACCTGAGCTCAGGAGTTTGAGACCAGCCTGGCCAAAACGGTGAAACTCCATCTCTACTAAAAATACAAAAATTAGCCAGGTATGGTGGTGGGCGTCTGTAATCCCAGCTACTCAGGAGGCTGAGGCAGGGGAACTGCTTGAACCTGGGAAGCGGAGGTTGCAGGGAGCTGAGATCATGCTACCGCACTCCAGTCTGGGTTATAGAGTGAGACTCCATCTCAAAATAAAAAAAACCTTTAGTGGACACAAGCACAAATTTCTTTTGAGTAAGTATCAGGAGTAGAATTGTTTGGTCATAGGGTAAGCACGTGGTTAACAAAGTGGTTGCAGCATTTTACATTCCCACCAGCAATGCAGAAGAGTTCTAGGTGTTCCCCATCCTTGCCACTAGTATTATTCTGTAGCTATGCAGAGCAGGTAAAATGCCTAACCATAATGTCTGAAAGAACAGTTCCAGGGCTGAATAAAATCACATATTGTATTTTCTTAAAATAAAAATTCTGTCCTTCTAATTCACTTTTCAGATTTTCTTTTCTTCTTTTTTAAGAGATAGGGTCTTGTTCTGTCACCCAGGCTGGAGGGCAGTGGTGCAACCGTAGCTCAAGGCAGCCTCTAACTCTTAGGCTCAAGCAGTCCTCTTGCCTCAGCCTCCCGAATAGCTGGGACCATAGGTGCAAGTCACCAGCTTTTCAGATTATTTAGTGCTAAGAGTAATCAGATACATCACTGGTACGTGTGGAAGAGAGTAAATAAATCCGAAGATTATTTTCTACCTCAATAATAGCTTAGTCTATGACCTAATACAACACCAGCTAACACTCGCTAAGTATTACTCGGTGCCAGCCACTATTCATGGGTTATCCCATGTAATCCTCTCAATGACATTGGGGGTGTGTGCTATCTTATCTCTATGTCATAAATGAGGCTCAAGTGGGGCCCAGCCAGGTTCAGGAACATGCTTGCTCAAGTAGCCACCGCTGCCAGAGGCTCAGATCCAGCCATGGCTAACTCTACGCCCACATCCACCATGGTCCAGCTTCAACAGAAGCATTTGGACCAGAGTGTGGCAAGCTGATGACAATGGGGAACAACCCCAGGTGGAGGCCCCAAGCGGCCTTCATGGTGGATGCTAGGGGTGCATAAGCTGTATAGCAAGAAATGCACCCTACGAAATGCCCTGAACCCCCTATTTTATCTGAGTCATTCAACAACTTCATCTGCTGCTGATGAATCATAGGTCACAGGAACTCATCAGCCAAAGTATGAATGTCGCCATCTCCTGCTTTCTGCCATGCCCTTGCCTGGCGCTGTCACTCTCTAACTGTGGCCACCTGGGTGTGGGCACATCCACCTCAAGTCAAACCCGGACCCCCCTCCCCAAAATCCCTTCTAAATCTTCAGCAAACCTTGGTGAGCTCTGAAAAACAAAACCCTGGGGCAAGGCCCAGCTAAGGGTGTTGTGGGAGCTGCCAGCTGGAGCCGGCACTTTCCTTCCCCAAACAGCCTGCAAACAAATATCTTTTTATAGTTCTGCAGAGCGATGTGACACTTTGTTTTCTCAGCATTGGAGGCAGCTGATAGCCCACTGGGGAAACCCAGATGCTTCCAAGCAAGTTATCTGACCAAGGGCTCCTTTCTGAGAATAAAAATGATCTTTCCCACAGTGTGGGCAATCCTACTTGGAGGCCAGCACAGAGATGCAGTGGTTGGAGAGTTTCTGCCTCCCGGACACTTGGTTCAAGGTCTCTAGTCATCTCCAATGTCAGACTGAAAGAGCTAAGAGTTCCAGTCACGTACTCTGAAAAGGACATGGCTAGGGGTCATACCAAGGCTCTTTATATAATCCTCATTGACAAGCCTGTGCAGCAGCTATAATTATTTCTCATTTCACAAACATGGAACCTAAGATATAAAGTCTTTAAATTGTTTATGTGTAAGACTGTCAGAAGTCCTTTCTTGGGAAAGGTTTTGTTTTCTTTTTTCAGACACAGAGTCTCGGCCGGGCACAGCCTGTAATCCCAGCACTTTGGGAGTCTGAGGCAGGAGGATCACTTGAGTTCAGGAGTTCGAGAATATCCTGGCCAACATAGTGAAACCTCATCTATACAAAAAATCAAAAATCAGCCAGGCGTGGTGGTGTGCACCTCTAGTCCCAGCTACTTGGGAAACTGAGACAGGAGAACTGCTTGCACCTGGGAGGTCAAGGCTGTAGTGAGCCATGCTCACGCCACTGCACTCAGCTAGGGCAACAGAGCAAGACGCTGACTCAAAAAAAAAAAAAAAAAAAGACAGTCTCACTCTATTGCCCTGGCTGGAGCACAGTGGTGGGATCATGACTTGCTGCAGCCTCCAACTCCTGGGCTCAACCAATCCTCCCAACTCCGCCTCACAAGTAGCTGTGACTACAGGCAAGCGCCACCGCACCTGGCTGCTATTTTGCTGTTGTTGAGATTGTGTTTTGTCACGTTTTAGTGTTACCTCACAGGAACAACAGAGGTTTTTTCTTTTTTTTTTTAAAGACTTTCCTTGTCAAAATTAAAGGAGAACAACACTATGTCAGTCTTTCATCTTTTTTTACTGTTTTAAACTACTGAAGAAGTCTGGTAACCATTGCTACACACGTTTCCTTCCCATGGCAAGGCTGAGCCCCAAAATCCAGATCTAAAGGTATTCTCCAAGTTGTTTTAGACTACCCCCCGACATGGGATTACACTTATTCCTCTCCACACAGATGACAACTTCCTGGTCTCATATTGCGTAGGATAGCCAGGTGTGGTGGCGCATGCCTGTAGTCCCAGCTATTCAGGAGGCTGAGGTGAGAAGACTGCTTGAGCCAGGAGTTTAAGGATGCAGTGAGCTACGATGGCACTGGTGAACAGCCACTACATTCCACCCTGGGCAATAGAGCAAGACCCTATCTCCAAAAAAACAGCCCCCTCAAAAACCAAAAAAGCACCTAAAATTAAATAAATACTGTAATACCAGCATTTTGGGGGGCCAAGGTAGGAGGATTGCCTAAGACCAGGAGCTTGAGACCACGCTGGGCAACACAACAAGATCCCATCTCTATTTATATATATATATAAAGATGATAGTATATATCATCATTTATTATATCATCTATCTATATATATATATAAAAAATGATGATAGTATCACACACATTAAGACCAGTGGAAGCCCCAGTGCATCAGAGCACATATATATATACATATATGTGTGTGTGTGTGTATGTGTATGTCTGTGTGTGCATGTGTATATAATTAGATAAATAAATAAAAATGAAATTTTGTTTTGTTTTGTTTTGTTTTTTTGAGATGGAATCTCGGTCTGTCGCCCAGGCTGGGGTGCAAAGGTGCGATCTCGGGTCACTGCAACCTCTGCCTCCTGGGTTCAAGCGATTCTTCTACCTCAGCTTCCTAAGTAGCTGGGATTACAGGTATGAGCCACCACACCCAGCTAATTTTTGTATTTTTAGTAGAGATGGGGTTTCACCATGCTGTAGTGAACTGGTCTCGAACTCCTGGCCTCAAGTGATCAACCTACCTCAGCCTCCCAAAGTGCTGGGATTACAGGCAAGAGCCACCACGCCCAGCTGAAAATAAAAATTGTTTAACTGTCTAGGATGGAAGCAATTTCATCCAGCCAGTGTGTGTTATTTGGAATTTCTCTGGCTGTCTTTGTCTCCTTTGGCAAAAAAAAAAAAAAAAAATTTGATCTCTTTCAATAAGCCAATTTATTAAATTTCATCAATATGTTATCTCCTCTTCTAGGTACTATGGAAGATACCAAAGTCCCATACTCAAGCCCAGGCTAATCACTTGCTAGCACTACAAAGCTGATTGTACAGGGAGAGACATACCCAAAGTGTGTGCCATCTCGGTCGATGAAGTAGCGGCCCTCGGAGTCCGTGGGGATGTAGTGCCGCCCACTGAACATGGCTGCCAACATGGTGTCTTCGTAGCACCGCAGTGTGGACAGGCGTGTAGTGAAGTGAGCCCCTCCAATGTTAAGGGGAACAACCTCAGGAAACTGGAAAGAAATCACCAGGGCTCTCAGGCAGGCAGCGGGGATTGAGAGCTGGGGTTGCTCCATCTTCACTCCCTCGGGTCTGATTGGTGCCACACCATTCATTCAGTCACTCAAGCCCAGGGGTCCATCTGAATACTTTCTTTTCTCTCTTCCCTCTGCCCCACCCACATCACCTGCCAAGTCTTACCCATTCAAACCCTGATAGCTCTTTTGTTTTTTTTATTTGAGATGGAGTTTCGCTCTCGTCTCCCAGGCTGGAGTGCAGTGGCGCGATCTCGGCTCACTGCAAGATCTACCTCCCGGGTTCATGCCATTCTCCTGCCTCAGCCTCCCCAAGTAGCTGGGACTACAGGCTCCTGCCACCATGTTAATTTTTTGTATTTTTTTTTGTACTTTTTTTTAGTACAGACGGGGTTTCACGGTGTTAGCTAGGATGGTCTCGATCTGCTGACCTCATGATCCACCTGCCTTGGCCTCCCAAAGTGCTGGGATTACAGGTGTGAGCCACTGCACCCGGCCCCCTGATAGCTCTTAAATCAGGTCTCTTCACCTCAACTCCATTATCACTGCTCTAGAGCTCAAGCCTTCAGTGTCCTCTCACTTCCTGAATTTACCATCTTAGTGTTCTTGCTCACAGTGTCTTCTGTGCCCAAAACGCTCTTACCACTCTCCTTCTTCTTCTGTCTATATGGCAAGGTAAATGGCCCCATATAGTGTTACAGGTTGTTCACTGCATAAAAGCTGGATGAGAGTGATCTGCTATGTGCCCTTTTTCTAATTCACACCAACGTACCATACAGGTTAGTGGCATCTACTCATTCCAGAAATTTCTATTCAAGTTCCCCTCATCTGTGAGCATTTCTGCTCTACTGTCCCTCACCTGCCCCCAGGACAGAGTTGACACATTCTTCGACTGTGCTTTCATCGTGTGCCACATTCTCCTCTATAATAGCACCTAGCACAATACATTGCCAATTATTTTCCTCTGTCAATTCACTCCACTAGACCTCAAGCTTCCCAAAGACAGGGAAAGCATCTTGGTCACCAACCATGGGCTGCCCACAGCAGAGCTCAGTAGTTGTGTGTTGAATATTTCCAGGTACCTACTCCTCTCCTAATCTGTTAAGTGAGACTGTCTCCAGTCCAGCTAAGGTTCTGGAGGCAAGGGCTGAGTGAGGAATATGAAAATGATGGCATAAATGTACCCTAAGAAGCTCGAGGTTTCCCTTAAAATGCAAGGTTTTTTTTTTTTCTTTTTCCTGTTTTGCACTGCTTGTGGTTTCTACCAAACTGCATTTGAAAGAAATGAGGTCATTTTAAGTTCTCTTTAATCTTCCCACAAACTTCCTCCAGATCAATTCAAATTTTATCCCTATGCATCTTTTTTTTTGAAACGGAATCTCACTGCAATGCCCAGGCTGGAGTGCAATGGCACGATTTCGGTTCCCTGCAACCTCTGCCTCCTGAGTTCAAGAGATTCTGCTGCCCCAGCCTCCAAAGTAGCTGGGACTACAGGTGGGCATGGCCACACCCAACTAATTTTTGTATTTGTGGTAGAGATGGGGTTTCACCATGTTGGCCAAGCTGGTCTCAAACTCCTAACCTCAAGTGATCTGCCTGCCTTGGCCTCCCAAAGTGCTGGGATTATAGCCATGCGTCCTTTTCAATATTACGTCTCTCCTGCTCCAGTGAAAGTCTGCTTGTCTACACAGTCCCCTTCCCAGCTTTCAAATCCTTTGTGAAATAAAATAGGGTACAAATACATGAAATAAAACTGACCCAGGGCCTTGGGCAGTGCCTGGCTCACGTAAAGACCCAAAATTCACTGAATGAACGAACAAAATAGACAGGGAGTTACACCTCTGTGTGTGTATGCACTGTTACTCTTCTGTACCCGTAGGACATGAAAATGCCTTGTGCTTACTCTGTAGGTCCTCTAAAACCATTTTATGTGTATATCAAGGGCTCAGATAACATTTTGGAATAATAATACTGAACATTTCTGGAGCTCTTTAAACCTTTTCCAAAGACACTTCATACCAATCCAAGTGTTTGCTCCATATTAGAGACGAGAGGATTGAAGCAGAGAGAACAAAAGCCATTGGAAACAGTTTTGGAGCTCACATGGGGCAATGTCATCAGCGGGGGGAGCTGGCGGTGGGGCCCTGGTCTGCAGTCTGTGGTCTTGTGCTCTTTCCCTCAAACCACATCATTTTCCCAACGACAGTGAACAAAAAAATAGCACCACTGTGACTAATGACTTTTTTCCAATTGCAGAGATTACTTCCAGATTTTTGCTCATTTTCCCATGACATTGTGTGTATGGAGCTTGCAATCCCAGCACAACACTATCTGCTTCCCAAGAGCATCATCACCTAGCCCAGCCTGTTGAGGGCCTCTATCCATTGTCCTGGGACTCCACATACCACATGCTCCTGGATCTGGCACTATCTTAGTCCCTGCCTCCTAGAAGCCATCTTCGGTGGCCAGTAACACTTCACCTTCCCTCCTCTTTATTTTTTATTTGTAGAAATGGAGTCTGTGTTGCCCAAGCTGGTCCCAGACTCCTGGCCTCAAGCAATCCTCCTGCCTTGGCCTCCCAAAATGCTGGGATTACAAGTGTAAGCCACCACACCTGGCATCGTTTCCCTTCTCTTGCTTTTTTTGTTTTTGCTTGTAGGTAGGGTCTTACTGTGTCACACCCAGGCTGGACTACAGCGACACAATCACGGCTCACTGCAGCCTCAACCACCAGGGCTCAAGCGATTCTCCCAACTCACCTTCCTGAGCACCTGAGAGTACAGGCACACACCACCAAGCCTGGCTAATTTTTATTTTTGTAGGGGCAGGATCTCACTTTTTTGTGTTTCCAGTTTCGTAGTAAAGGGCCGGGAA